CATGCTCCCCTTCGTCATGATCCAGGAAGTTCTCATAGAAGTCCTCCAACTCATCCAGGACAGCGAATTCTACCTTATTTTCCCCATCTACCTCAGTCTCCTCTGATCTTCTGCCTGCTATATATCCTGTTCCAGAGCTACCCTCGGCTACCTCCTGATCACTAGTTGAGTCATGCAACTCACCATTCAGGTTGTCTAAGCCATCATCACTTCCTCCCTCCTGTCCTTCACCCGTGTACAAAACCTTCCTGTCTTTACTACTGCTGCTTTCAGTGAAGCTAACACTAATCTTAACATCTCTGAGCAGCTTGAGGTCTGGTAAAAACTTGGTGACTGGGGGAGCGTAGCGGGCTGTTCTGGGGCATGCCGAGTGAGGACTGGTCTCATTTGAGAGGCGGCAACAGAAAGTTACTGAGCCTTTGCTGATGGGGTGCTGTTGCTTGGCTTCCCTGTCCCCTGGGGTGTATGTGTATCCATCACCACCAGAGCTAACGTCCATTACCTCTGCGTCACTGGACGTTTGCAGGGGAGGTGGTGGAGGTGCTCTGCCCTCATCTTGGCCAAAATCATCAGGTGGCTCCAAGGGGAGAGGGGGTAGAACATCATCTATGTCCATTTCCTCTGAATTATGAACTACAACTTATACAGACTGATTACTATAAATTCTGACCCACTGAGAGGCTTTCTTATCTAAACCTAAAATGCATGCAGAAGCACATCCCTGTATAGACCATGTATTAGAGGTGAAAATGCTAAGCTGACTACATTGTTCTTTTCATTAATGTAGACAGCTGTCAGAATCACTGTCTCAATTATTGGAAATCACAATGCATTCAGCTTAATATTGGATCTAGGCACTGCTCATCCTCCAGTGAGATCTTCCGGTAGCTAAAAGGAAAAAAACACGAACAGCGAGAGCAGTTGTCAGTAACTCAACCAGCTAGCCTTAACATTTTATATCGCCGAGTAGTCATACGATATTTGATAACAAATTATGATACTGCGGAAAATGGACGTAACAGCTAGATGTTAAAGGTGCCTGCTTTTATTTGAGCAGATTAACATTTATAAAAGTCCAAGCAAGAAGCTAAATTAGTCATAATGGCGAAGAATGTAGTCTTTGGCATATCTCGAGCCTACAGCTGTACAGTGGGCCCTTGCTCACGTTAGCATGAATGCTAATATGCTAAAAAGCAACCACTAGGTAGTAGTGTTCGTTCGCTATGTCTTCAGAAAAGGTCAGCTACCCCAAAAATGAGTAGTAACTGGGTTACAGTAACGTTAATACTCACCAATAATTAGGACCCAGATATCTCCTATGGGGCACCCAACTACCTTTCTAAATTACTTTTAATCTCGACGACCAGCAATACATCCAGCACTGCAACACCGCCATCTTGGAGAAAACCACAGCTGCAAACCCTGTAAGGCCCCCGGCTCCCAGTACCGGTGTTTTGATGATTGACAGCTCGACGGACCAATCACAACGTCCCTCCATGGCAGCTACTGGTATGAATAACCCATAAAGAATTTGGCATTTTGGCTGATGATCTTCAGATGTTGCAATTATTAAAACCCTCATCAGAGTGAAATAAGAATGTTGGTTGTGTGTGCTGTATTTGAAAACTACTGATAGCATTATAGTGGTTATAAAGTGAGTCATCAGATTAAAATCATATGTGTTTTATCTGACAGGTAGGCTAAATGCACAGTTAAACGGTACGGTATGGTAGGCGGTAGGGTAAGACTTTACTCATCCCACAGTGGGGAAATTCCTGTGTTCCAGCAGCAATAGAGAACAAACAAAGGGGCATCTGTGAACATTTTTCTTCCATTCCGTTACCACTAGTGTCTGTGTAAGTAGGTTTCCTGCCAGTTATCAGATTAAAGATTTCAAGGCGTTACATATATTGAACATACAGTATATTAGTCTAATGTACAGTATGTCATAAGGGACATATTGCAAGAGGATCATGTGAATAGCAATATCTCAACATGCCACTAGATGTCACTATTCACCAACAGTAGCTGGTCAACAGTCGGAAATAACATCTTTACCTTTGGTTCTTAATTTAACACACTTTTTATGGAGACATTACCTTACACTCCTTTCCTGGCAACTTATTCTAACCTTACTTATCAAACTATAACCCTACAACCAAGTATTAACTCTCAAACAGCCCTTTGAGGGGATGTGATAAAGTGAGGCCCAGCCAAAATGTCCTCACTCACATGGTATAATCAGTCCTTAACACTGTTGGCCATGCATACATTTAAGATAAAGCAGCTAAATGTATTTACACATAAATTTGATTTTTCCACCTGTACATCTCCTGGTGTGACCTGTCAACCTTTTGTTGAAAATAAAGTCTACTGTACTCTGCCTGGAAGAGCCACATGCCTTTAATTAAAGCTCCATTAAGTCACAATAGATCAATGTAAATGTGAGAAAAATTATTCAAACATCTAAGTGTGAGTTCTCCTGCTTTTATAGGTAGGTGAAGTTCTGACATTAATCCAGCGGACTAATGGTTAAGTGCATCCTCACTGAAATAAAATCTCCTTTCAGCACAATATGGTAGAAATTAAATCCTCTTCAAAACTTTGTCCAGTAGAAGGTTACAATGAATTTACAACAGATATTAAATGTTTTCACACAGCCTTTTCCACTTTGAGTTCAGGCTAGTTAAGTTTTTGAGTTAGTCCCAACTTCTGAATGAGGAATTTATGTATGGGGTGCATGAAAGCATGTGGCTACAAAAAGTGGCTTCCTCACAGTCTGTTTGTGTATTACCCTCAATATTTTGTATGATACATCAATAGCAAGAGTGATAAATTTGTTTTTATTGTCAAGTAGCTGTAAAATGCATTATTCTACCATGAAAGTGGTCAGAGATCCAGTGTAAAGCATCTACATTCAACAGTGAAATATCTGTTGCAACACTGAGATTACTACGGTGCCAGGCTGGGGCATAACTAGTCACCTGTAATAGTGTTACAGAAATCAGAAATTTAAAAGGATAATGGTAACTCTAATCTGTGACCATGAGCTTAAATATGACTAACATACACACCTTAAAAAATACTGATGACCCTATGAATTCTCATTGTGCAAAATAATTTTTCAAGACTTTTACATTAAAATGCAGTTTTTTGTTTTTTTTTTATTGCTGTAGCTCCCGAATTCTATTTTAAATTGCAGTCTCGAAATTGGGTCACTGTAACAAGTGTATATTCAGTGATCGCAACATAAATAAATTACATTACAATACAATAATCCAGTGGATGGCAGTACTGATTACAGATCAAAGCAGGTTACCAACAATCTGTAATAGGTTAGCCTTCTTGAAGCAAACCAGCCCTGCTGTTTTGTGACATGTCAGGAAAATATTCTGCTTTACAAACTCATACGAGCTCTTGTGCTCATTTAAAAGATTGCCAACCTGTCCAAAATATTTATTTCAACTTAAATGAAGAATAATACATGTATATCACTGTTGTTAATGAGGCAGTTGGTGCTGATTGGCTGAGGAAAATGTGCAGAGGGTATGCAGCGGTTATGGAAGGAAAGGTGATGCAGAAAGGCACAGAGTGGGCTTCCTCCCTTTATGTCTTCACTCCTGCAGTTTGAACTGGAAAGAACTGGTGCTCCATTTGCTTGTGTCACAGTCAAGCATGGTACGCTCTGTGAAGGTCACATTATCTTCTGCATCTATCAGTATTATGGTGTTGGTCCTGAAAGGGCAGGGGCACAGACGGTACAAACACAAAACACAAAATATGAAATCAATGACTGAAAACACTTGAAAAAAATAAAGAACACAGGTGGCAGGAGTAACACTAAAGGCAACTATGATCCTTTAGATGTCACATTTGAGGTATTTAGCCAAACACCCTTATCACAAATGAGTAGGCAGTGACAGACGGGTTGATGGCTCTGGCAAAGACTGACCCTCTGACCTTTTGGCTACAAGACAGTCTCTGTATCAGCTAATCCACCGCGGTATCAATCCTCTTTCATTTCCTCACTGCGGAGGACTGATTACACTGGGGATTATTGTGTAGAAAAATTTTTCTGTTGTCTGTGATTCTGTAGTCTAACACAAGGCTGTGAGTCACTTCAGTGGAGAGAGACTGGACACAGGGGGTGCTGACCTTGTGCCATAATCAGGGGAGCGAACGCACACTGCTGACAGAGCCTGGACCATGGACTTGGTGTAACCATCACCCTGATGCTCCTGAATTGGATCAGGTGTGTTCCTGGAAAACAAACATGTTTCCAATACATCATTCTCTGTTATACTGTCTTTGAAGCATATTTAAATCAACAATTCCTTTAACAAGTGCCATTTTGGACTGATCTGTAATATGCATTCATATAGTTATGCACAGATGTGTGTCTCAACCTTAACTGATCAAGATCGTTTGGAGACTTTCTCTTAATTCACATCTCAGAGAAATATGTTTTAAAAAGATATCAGGCAAAACATAGGCCATGCCCTTGCTGAATCTTGATTTGTTAAAAAAATATATATAGGCCATATACAGTGCAGTACACACAACAACTAGTTCACAAGCGAGCCTGATGAAAGAGACACAAAACTTGTTGCTTACTGCTCCACTTGCAGAAAATGCAAGATAAACATTTATTCATTTTCAGATGGTTTGCAGTTCAGTTATTTTGGTTTGTGGCAAGCTCCCCTTGTCATGTTACATAGGTTTTCTGATATAGTGGCTTCTTCTTGAGGTTTGAGTTTTATGGGTTGGCAAGACATTCTGGGTTCACCAGACCAATGTCTAGGTCAAGTCCACCATATGCTCTTGTCAAAAACTCAACTTAATGCTTGATATTTCAGGTTATTTGCTTTCAGTTGTACAAGAGAATTCATTTCTACAACCTGGGTTGCAGTTCTGGCCATCACTCCTATTGGTTATTAAAAACATGTTACTCAACAAGCATGTGTTCAACTATGTGCAAAGTGCAAGAAGAAACCATAATTCTACAGAAACATCAGTGATCAGACATACAAATCCCAAGTTTAACCAGGCCAGAAAATGATCTGGCACATAACAATATACAGAACCACAGCTAGTCACATTTGGACCACTGACTGTATACAAAAGCTGGACAAACCCACCGTGATGTCACCCACTGGTTTTCTGAAGAGAGGTTTTAAAGCTCAGTCTGATTGTCGCCATATTACTGGTGCTTCACTCTACCACCTACGGCTAATCCAAAAATGGCCAAAGAGGTGTAGCATCAGTGGAGCTTGCTAGAAAGCTAGCAGCTAGCCACCTATGGCGGTAACCTCCCACCTGTCTTTCAAAGCGGCCATGCCCTTAATTAATGCGTAAATTTTAGTCTTTAATATAATTTAAATGGGTGAGTTATTTTAAATTTATAATTTTTATATAACTCATGTGAAAACAAATTAAAATGAAATGTGTTATGGTCTGTGAATGTACAGCGAGAGTGTAAGTAGGTGGGTGTTTATCACTTACAATTCCTCATTACTGAGGACACCAAGAAGCTCTTGCACCAGTCTATCACAAGACAGGGACTGGTCATTGACAATGCTGGTGAAGTGATGCTTGCCTTTCAGCAGTTTCTTCTCCAGCAGGGAATTACTCAAACCATAGATTCCGGCTGAGAAGCATGTGAAAAATACAAACGTATCCACTGGTGAGCTCTGTTAGTGACCTTGTGGTACATCATCCAATAAACAGATAATCTGGCAGCAATATCAATATGGATATGTCAGACTCGCATGAATGGGCCACAGGTGAAAGAGAAGTGTAAAATGAATTGTTTCTACAGCAACTGTATTAAAAAACACAGACCTGGTTTTAGACAGATGGGTTCGGTGCTGCCTCTGTTTCCATAGTAACACATTGTGTCTTGTTTGGCTCTACACAGGATACAGTAAGATGGAAAATTAGAGCTTGTATTTTTTTAATCATTTAACATGTTTATGTCTAATTAGGAAAGCTGTGTGAAGGGTCACAGTGCTTCTACACTCTTGAAATAAACACTAATATAGCAGAGATGACGCTTAAAGCAGCACTCCTGAGAAAATAATCTAAAATGCTCAGTCAAAGAGAATAACAATAGTACAGCAGGGATCATTCTTTAATGAGCATTCTTTTCCTTGCAGGCCTGGAAAATAGAGAAGTCAGTTTCATTTGTAGATACTTTTCAACTGGGAAAATACCAAAACACCATAGTTAAATGCAGTAATTAAATCTTATTTTAAAGGATCAACTGATAAACATTAAGAATTATAAAACACAAACGACAGCCTCAAACATGTCCGACTACCACAAAACCATTTAGTAACCACGTTAGATCTCTTTACAAAGTTCTCAGTGAGAGGGAATTTATTCCGTCTGAAAAATCAGTCTGACATCAAGGGCATCTCTGATGGCTTGGGTACAGGAGAGTGAATAATAAGTTATGACCAAATCCTTTGAACCAGTAGGAGAATAAAGTTTGATGTCATTTTACGATAGCTGCACCAGTGGCATCAGTTAGTCTGAAACGTGCTTGCAACACTACTTCAACATCTAATTTGGAAAGATTCCCAGTCAAGAGCTGGTAAGACAGAACAGAATGTGCTGCTGGGCTTATTGGTCAATAACTAAATTTGGTAGATACAAATCAGGCAAAGGAAGTGTGCCTCTGGTCTACACCATGTATCACCACATGTAGAAATGGTTTGCCATACAACTCATTGCCAGAGAAAAAACAATTAGTCACTCAACTGATCAGCTCATCAAAAAAATAATCAATAACGTTACATTAAATTTTCAAGTAAAAATTCCAAAGATCTGATTAATCCAACTTATTAAATGTGAAGATTTGCTGGAAGTTAAATCATGTTGAGAATTTTTTACCAATCGCCACACAAGGTTGCAGTGGGTAGCACTGTCACCTCACAGCAACAATGTTCCGGGTTCAAATCCTGACCTGCACCTTTCTGTGTGGAGTTTGCATGTTATCCCCATGGCTGTATGGGTTTCCTCCAGGTACTTTGGCTTCCTCGCACAGTTAATTGCCCAAGGGCGTGAATGTGAGTGCGAGTGGTTGTCAGTGCCAGCTCTGTGAAAGACTGGCGATCTGTCCAGGTTATACCCTGCCTCTTTCCCAGTGCTGGCTGGGATTGGCTCCAGTGACCCTGGACAGGATAAGCAGTATAGATAATGGAGAATTTTTTTTTTTTTTTTAACTATTTTCTGATTTTTTTCTTTTACATATCTATTCATTTGTCTGTCAATAATAAAAATGATCCTTAGTTGTAGCCCTAGTGATATTTAAACCCTACAGCTTGCTATATTGTTTAATCCCAGATAATTACAGCATATTGGGTTTCAAGAAGGTAAATATTATGTACAAGAAATATGTACCACTTGATGTTAACTAAGATTTCACAATATTTTAATCAATTATCAAATCAAACCTCACACAGTTAAATGACTGCCCTTGTTTTCCTTAGTCAAATGTAACAGAAGCAGGATTTTTATGTATTAGGTCAACCCGAAAACCCAGAAATGATGCAAGTGATGGTGTGATATGTAAACATATATGCTTGCATTTACCATTTTAACACATACAGTAGCCATCTGATCTAATCTGATTAGTCAGTTTATTACTTTGGACTTATTTCATAATTCATGCCATGGGCATTTTCATCTCTTTTTAACCATAGCAAACTACCAAGCACTGAGTGAATAATATGACAACACATGACATGAGTAATATGACATGAGCAAACCTCACACACCCTCTCACATCTCCTGTAAATGATTAACGATGCACATGCTTGTTTAAAACCAGCGGCCCCCGCGCAGAGGTAGTCGTTTTCTGTTTGTGCAAGAGCTCCTCTGTCTTGTGTCAATTTCCTGCAGCACAATGTTTTCTCAAAGCAGGACAGTATGTGTCCAAGCAGCTGAGAGAACAACCTGAAAGCTGTACATTACACTATCTCTCTGAAGGGAAGAAATCATAGGCCTTAATACTGTTTCCAACTTGTATCCAAACCCAGGTGAACCTTCTGAATATAAAATGACTTTTTCTGTGTTCCTGTGGTTACTATGAACACGGTAACACCAGCCAGTGTTGAGTCAGGCGATACAGTAGCTGTCACCCCTCATATGTGCATGTGCACAGCAGCTGCTCAGTGGAAACCCAATGGGGCTGTAATCTGATGGGGAAGGGAAGAATCTGTAAAGCCATTATCTATTGTCACTTCTGCTGTGGGCAAATACATTGACTGAAATAATATTTTGATCACTGCACTGTGACCTGAATTCAGCAACAGTTGAAAGGCCTGGTGGGTATGTGTGTGTACACTTTTTGTGTATAAATGCATCAAACTGGCTGTGTCAGTAGTAAGTGGAAGATTTGCAAAGAGATAGTTCTGTATCTGCTATTTGAGACTGGCTAGAATATTGAAAGTCCCATCAGGTGTGGGCTGATTTGGGCTGAGATGAGGGAACAGCAGGAGGTCAAGGCTGCTGGGCAGAGAGAGAGAGAATGAAGCAGACTTTTTCAGATCTCAGTCAGAGAGTTAATCAGTATGCTGACTGAGAGATGTTCTAATGAAGAGTCCTCTATACTGAAGCTGCAGGGCAGTTTCCCTATCGCCAGCTGTAGTTGGATGAGCTTTCAGTGTTATTAGCTCAGAATGTAGATGGGCATATTTGTGGAAACTCCCAGGTTAGGGCAACATGTACTCTTGTATCCAACGATAGAAACTATGCATGTACAACCACAAATGCTAAACACAACGTGTAACAATTTTGGTAATCCAGTGGCTTTTCAGACAGCACCATCATGAGGTCAAAATTTCAATCTGACCAATGCTGTGATTTATGACCAACTACTTGAAAAACCAATGACATACCCAGCAGCACAAACTGTACTTTGTGTTTAGCAATAACTAGTAAATGTTAGCATGCTAACACAACAAAGAAGTTGAACATGGTAAACACTGTGCTGTCTTAACATCAGCGTGTCAGCATTGTCACTGTGAGCATTTAGCTCCTAGTGTCAGAATGGCTGTAAACACAGTTGTGCTACATTTAGACGCAGTAAAAGCAATTAACTTGATTTAATCCTTATAAATATTGCGGGCACACCCTGTTTCAACATCAGCTGCCCTATGTGGCTTCAAGATGACCTCTAACTTCAGAAATAGAGTATAACACCATAATATTCAGACTTTCATGGAAGGATGAATGTAGGAGAATGTTCCAGGGTTATCATCCACTCTTATAAAATATGACCCCATGCTAACAACTGCAAAGCCAAAATCAACATTATTTTGATTTCTGTTGCAATACATCTGGATTCACTCAATGAACAATGTTGGCGACATTTGTCTATTGCTAGTTCTATTCAGTACACAATCATGTTTTATTCTACTCAAAGTGTTTGTTATACTCCACAGGTAATCTTTCACATATTCATAGTAGTTTCTCTTTAAAATGTTGAGAATTCACCCACATGGACATGTGTTTATCTGCTGCACTGCTGTTTTTTCCCCAGTCTCGACACATTTCTGCCAAGAATTACAACACATGGTTTGAGGTCATTAGATTGAACCAGTTCCTAAAGTTGTTTTTATAAACCAGCCACAGTCTGCTTGACTGAAAGTGCATTAAGAGAGGTATTTCTTCACAGGCAAACATCAGAGGAGATATTCATTAAAATGGATCATCTCTGGGCATTGGCCTTAAAGTCAGAGTGACATACAATGGGATCAAAAACCAAAGCTATAGAAAAGTCAGATGAAGAGCTGGATATGGAGCCTTGAGAGCATCAAACAGAAAATATGTGTGATCAAAATTTAAATGTATATGGCCTTAGGTCCACTGGGGGAAGGCTCAGTGTGATGCTCCAGACCAGGACATGCACGACTGCCACTGAATATATCACATGCATGTAGAACTCAGCCCAACAAGATTAGAGATGATTAAATCAAGGCAGTATTGGTTTAACAAGCGTCACATTTATAGACGAGCAAACTATAAATCACTGCCAAACTAAAACAATGAAATGCGCCTGAGCATGTACATCCTGTCTCTCAAATGTATCTCAATAAAGGTGATCACACACCCTCTCAAAAAATGAATGATGACAGAAAATGCTAAAAAATGGCATGCGCATCTTGTCTTGCACCACAACCACATCATAAGTCACGTCTCTGATTATTGATGAATGAGAAATCATGTCACTGTTATATGGAGCTACTGTACTTTCTATCCACCAGACAAAGTTACTGATTCAAAAACAAACTAGATGACTTATTTCCTCTGGGCTGCTGGACACACTACGGTGGAAAAAAAAAAAAAGCCTGGTAACGATGCCGCTTTTTTAAATGTAGTCTTGCTTTTCAGTCACTGTGTCTCACATCTTGTCTGCAGTGAACACAGTTCCCATCAGACAGGTATTTGAGAGGAAAATCATAGTCAGTACTTCCACAGCATGAGGCTCTGGTGAGTGATTTCAGATGACAGCCAAGTCAAAGTGACAGACATAAGGCATTATCACATGAGAAACACACTTTCCTCATGTCCCATGAGTGTGGGGTGCCAGGAATGTCACTAGGGCAGTGGAAGCACAACTACCGCTCCCAGTCCCTCCACAGCTACATACATGAGAGGGTCAGAATATTAGGAACACCTCTAAATATAATGTAGTCCAGTACAACACTACCTTTAACTATGACCTCAATAATAAACATATTTATGACAATTTCACCAAAGCTGAAACATTTTGACCTTCATAATCACAGATGTTAAGGTAGAAGTGTTGCATTGAAGTGCATACAATTGCACAGGCACACCTAATAAAGTGACCAGTAAGCGTAGTTTTATAAAAGATCAGCTGGAAGTCAGCCTGAGACAGCGTTTTAAGCTTTAGCTTAATTACCTCACTAGCTACACTTGATAAAATTTGCCAATAACAGCTGACATTTCCACTAGCAAAGCTGACAGGCCAAAAGCAGCAGGTCTACCTCTGTATGGTGACACATTTCAATAAACCACAGCAGATCCATCATATTGATTAGATGACATCATAGTCTGAAAAACTGATATTACAAGCCTAACACAGCAAAAAAGACATGTATCTCTCTAACCTAAAATAATACTAAAATGTGGGGATGTGTAATGATGCAGCTGAGCCTCCAACCTCTGGCTGGCAGAAACTGAGACCTGTTTTCATGCCAGTTGTCTCCAGGCGCCTCCACCATGACAGCTAGCTTGTTATGCAGTGATCCTGCTTTGATTTTTCTCCCTTTGCCATTTCATCAAGTTCAGTCAAATCAGGTTGTTTGAAGCAGACAAGCAGGGGAAAAAACTTATTATTTTATAATGCTGTCAGACCTTCTTTGTCTGAAACCCTGATACATGAACAGATTCCTTTAGAATTTTAGTGCTGGCTCTATCACAGTTTAGAATCTGAGATGTCTTTTCAGTTCTGCCAGCTTAGCACTCCAGAGATGAAGAAGCTGCCTTTATGGTTTTTTTCCAAGGTAAGAAAAGGCCAGAACTCAGGGGAGCAGAGTTACAACCCATTGTCAGGTACCTAAAAAAGGTTTGTGCCCAAAAATTTCAAGAATCTGTCTCGGGTGTACAGACCACAAGAAGTCACTTCATGACACCCACAGTGCAAAAAAGAACTTGTCTTAACATTCAACAGCCTTCAGTGGCCATATTACATATTTTTCTACCTCTCTGGAATAAATTCAACTTGTGTAATGTAGCACTTCGGGGGTATGGCTACTTACCGGAAGACATGACTTTTACAACAAAGTCTCAGTGAAAAGAGTCAGTGAAAAATCTCACTATGTTAACATACTTGACTCAGTTGAACAGGTGATTGACCACAAACTCAAATGGATTTCACCCCACCTTTTACTCACTTGAACTCTGCTGTGATGAGGTTGAAGCCATTGTACAGGTGGCCTTCTGTCGACACCTTCTTCAGGTAGGTGCAACTGTCCAGATCCTTGTCCATAAGGTAGTTAGATACTAGAAATCCTGAAGAATGGCAGCAGTAAAAATAACTGCTTCTTAAATTATTCACTGAATAGACCAGCCTAGTGTTATAAATGATGTTCTAAATAAATGTAAGACATGAAAATTGCAGCACAAGTGATCTCATGACAGCCTTCAAAGTGTAGTGAAAAACGCAATATTGTGCTTTAAGATGTTAAATGGTGGATGACAAATGTACAGCACTGGCTTATTAAAGAAGCTGCATAAGTAGAATTAAATGTATTAAGAACAGTTCCATTTTCAAATAAATCTGAATATGTAACTTAACACTAGACATTTTATCAGTGAATATACAGTATCTGCGTCTTTCTTTGTGGCTGGCTCACCTCTTCCTTGTGCATCAGGGTTGGGACGTCCTTCCATGTAGTTGGTGATTGCAGCTAGCTTGCCCCGCTTGGTGATCCCCAGCCACGATCCTCCTTCCTTACCAGCTTCTAGGTCCAGGCCTGTGTAACACAGTAGTAAAATGTGCATTAAATACAGCTCCAGCGTTCATCAGACTTCACATGGAGGTTACATTCGTTGTACGCTGGAGACATTCATTAAGCAATTACAGTATATTGATCAAAACAAATATTACAATATGTTAAATGCAAAAGACCAGTTCCTCATTGTAAGTACTTCCTCCATATTTTTGAACACCAAATAATAAATATGGGCAGATGTCTCACTCCAGAACTCCACAAACTATTCTAATTTCATTTGTACTCTCATATAAGGAATATATTATTAAATATTTCTTTTGATTAGAGTGCCATCATGTAAAATTTTGGCAGTAATGAGATCAAATCCATCCATTAGTAAATCAGTTATTTTCTTTCAATATTCCTCTTCTTTATTTGTCACAGAAAAGGTGCAGCCCTGCTAGTCTACTGCACTTCCTGGTGATCAATAAAGACACACTGACAGTGACCAAGAGACCCATGTGCTCTTATTCCTTTTGGGGGTGGATGGAAAGCTAGCCCGATCCCACTGGGAGCTATAGCTTACTTCCCCTTCTTGTCATGTTATGTCTCCTTCGGGGCTCTGCCCCCAGCACTGCAGATAAGGCAGAGCCATTTATTCCTGTCACATTACATAAAAGCAGCCATCAATTAAGGGCCCACTACTGGAGTCCTGACCCCTGTATTACAGAGGGGAGAGGAGAGTGATGAACAGCGAGGCCATCTCTGTGTTTCCTTCTTCACTAGGAAACAGGATAATTGATTTTCTCTCCTTGGCTATAATGTATATTGGACATCAGTCAATTAAATATAGTTTACCATGGGTTGAGATGTTGTGTGACAGAGTGTAGAACAACTGAGGTGAAGGAGAGATTTTTTTTTCTTCTTGATTGCTGAAGGCTATTTAGCCTTGAATAAAAGCTGCTAAGAAGAGCTTATATCTGGTGAATTTTCACATAGCCAAAAGACTTAGGTTTTAAAATCTAATATAAATTCTTCTGTTATATCATCAGATAAATCTGTTACCCACTGCCCGATTTTGTACTGTTACCTCAGTCAGGGGCAGGGGGTTATGTTTTTGCTGGTGTTCATTTGTTTGTTAGTAGTGAGCAGGGAACAGTTGTCCAGGCTTGCTGAAGACAGATTATAAGCGCCTTTTCTGTCTTGAATCTTTAGTTGACACAGACCTTATACGGTCATTGCCGTGACTTGTCCAGTTCTCCTTCGCCCGCTACACGCGTCTTCTCTCTTCTTCTTCTCCTTTTTTTCGGTTGTCTTCTTTTGTGGTACACTCAAAACATTGCAAAATAATAGAACATGAGATACGAACAATAAATTCCTCAACACCCATATAAAACTGGTATAACACTGTGCAACTGCATATTTCAACCCATCACAACAAACCATGAAATTTCCTAATGAGCCACCATGTGACGAAAACAAACACCCTAATGCATCACCACAAAGACAAAACGCGCTCTGGCAAACAAAAGAAAACAACACTGAGTCTGTGAATAATCAGATTACTACAATAGTATAACTCAAAAAGTATTAACAGATTTTAATGTCATTTTTTGGAGAGGTATGGTATGGCTCACGGAATAACTGATTAGATTTTGGTGCTGATCCATTGCATAATTTGGATATAGGATTTTTCTAAAGATTATTCACCACTGTCATTGTACTATGTAAAGCTAATCTGTTCACAGTGTGGCTTGTTCATTTTGCTAAAGCTACAGTAGCTGCTATTCTACAGTCTGGGGGGTATTCCAGAAAGCAAGTTAAGTTTGTTCAAGGTGAAATGAGGGAAACTTTAGCTTTTCTGTTCCAGAAACAGAGATCTGCTTTATGCAGCGACAGCTGGGCGAGAGCCTGATGGCAGAGATTTTTAGCTTGTTAACATTTTCATCTGTAGGACTGGTATTATAGCATTTTATTACATTTTGACATTTTTTGAGGCAAGAAACAACAATTACTGTATTAATCTTGGCAACTTTCTAAAGTATTGCTAAACATTACATTTTAGAGAATCAAGTATTTCCTTTTGTCTATTTATAATAACCTGGCTAATAAGCCATTGCTTATGATACATGTTTAATCCAAAGTTAGCTTTCCTTTCTTTCTACAAAATACCTGCACACAAGTTTAATGTTAAAATACCTATGTGTTATTTGGACTTCATATTTAAATGCGATTTGTCCTACATTCCAGTCATATAAATGTGCATTTCAAATGTGCAGCCATGGTAGGAAGGAAGTTATAAACTATATAAATTAACTTAAACCAAGATTAATTTATCATAAAATGTGAGAATAACAGTCACACCAAGACAGGGGTGTGAAGTATTTGTGCAAAATTCATTTCCAAATATTATGACCAAATATTATATTTGCATCACCACAAGAAGTGTTTTCTCAGCTAGTAACATATTTAGACTTTTTGGTTCCTTCCATATTTATTAACAGGCGCATACGACGCCTAAGCCAGGTTTTAGCACACCAGAATTAAACAGCCTTTCAGCCAAAGTTTGTAGATAAAGAATGTTTAGAAACAGAGTCTAAAGTTTTATTTAAGCAGAATTGTTTGTTAAACCTCAGAGAAGCCATCATAATGATCCTGTGGCAAATTAAACGTGGTTCTCTTCAAGACATCTCCAAAACGCCATGTGCCAAGACCAAGCTCTGGCTCAGCCAGCATCTGGAAAAAGATTGCTGAACAATGGCTGCAGACTGGAAAGCCAATTCATCATAAAGGAGGAGGCAAATCTTGCCCTGAAGACAAAGAACACTTTCTGAGCTCACAGCCCCATATGGTGTTCTGGAACTTTGGACCCACACAAACCTCTACTCTGGCCCAAAATGCTCCTAAACAAAGACTACTTCCCCTGGCCAGAAACATATGATTATAGTTTCCTCTTCAAATTCTCGTTTATGTCCTAGAATTTAGTCACCGACTGGTCCATTAGCAATCTCTTTGTTTATATGTACCATCTGCTCCATTTAACAAGCCTTATTCCCTTTTCCCTCCTTGTACATACAGTATGTAAATACATTTATTTAGCTTATAACTGGTTTTCTTGTGTCATCTTTTTGTCTCTTTTATTTTCAGTAACTAAGTCAATGTCCTGAGGACACACTGCTTTCAGCTCAGACTGAATGAATTGTAAATTATTTATAGTGTGGTTCATGATAAAAACCTGGTGTCCTTGTTTTTACGAGGTATTCATATTGGTAATTCATACATTGTAGTCCATTTTTGCCACACAGCTGTTGAACAAGCAGAACACAAACTTGCAGCTATGACCTCTTCACCACTTTGCCTGTGGTCCACTCCCTGAAGTCCCCTAAACCAATGAGTGAACGTCAGTCATGTCTACTGTTTTTCTTGAATAATTTTCAGACTCCAAATAGCAGCAGTAGGTTTTCATGATCAAGCAATCATATTATGGTGGTCAAACTATCATGGGGAAAAGGTACTGCCTATTGGCAAAGGTTGGCACTCTCTTTGAGCGCTGTCTAGTTTTGTGCACAACACTTTAGTGTTTTGGATAGGGTTCCTTTGCAAAAGACAGGTTAAATAAATGATAAATACAAAACCTGCATTTTAAAACAAAAATAACTGGCCTAGTACTTACTTACCATTTTCTGTTAAAAAGACAAGCAAAAGGTTACCCATGGTGGCCTAATGTATCAACTTACCACTGAGGATCTCACTGTTGGTCCTCCAGAAGTCTGCAGCTTTGGATGGCCTGTTGTACAACTCATCTCTGTTTGCAGCCAATATTAGCCTGTGTAGATGGAAACAGAGGTTGGACATGCTGCTTTATGTTTGTTCATTCAGTGAGTCTTGTTCATTCTCTCTTGATGTGAACCAACAAAGTATTACAGAATGCCATCGGTGGTCTTAACAGCACATCCATCATTAGCAAAGTCATTCATCATCATGAGGATGATGATACGTCATCTCCTTTATCTTCCTTCTCAGCTGGTGGCTTGTCATACGTTTATATCCTGCAGCTTTTTTATTTTAAAAATGATTCTTAAGTCCACATTATTTCTGCTATATTTGTTGTGTCTGTGCTTTGGCTTTAACCAGTGCACACGTTCCAAGTGGATGGAAATCTAGGAATATAAACTGTTGTGCTCCCTATACTCAGGTAAGCACTTGTCTGCAGTTTCTAAATAGAGAGTAATCATTCATCTTTTCTCAAACATTCCTCTTAATAGTAAGTCCTCAGCTTACCCATAACTTAGACAGGTGATTATTATGTGAGTGAGATGGCAGACTGTTTTCAACTGCCTCAGTTTTCAGGACACCATGTTTTCCTGCTTAATAAAGGCTTCAGAGGTGTCCAAGAGCTTTCAAGTAGAATATTTTATTTTACACTCTGAGCATGATTCAGAGGACACAAAAGGTCAAGGTTAGAGGGAGGAGGATGCCCTTTTGATGATAACAAATGAAAATGCTAAAAAAAAAATAAGATGGCAAAAGGACAAGCCAGCAGAAAAATAAAATAACTAATCTTAACACAGAAAGTAAAGTGAAAAATAAGTTAAGATCCAAAACCACCAGCTGTGTCACTGTGTCATTATTTTGGTTTTTGCATGTTTTATATATACTCTGAATTACTAAGACCACCTTCCATACTGTATATGATTAGAGAATGCCTTTTCCATCCTTCCAGACAGCCACTGGTTACATTCAATTGAGCACATTGTAAGAAGGAACTTAAGAGACAGGGGTGAATGTTGTGGACAAAATAAAATACCATGATGCTATCTCCCTGTTTATACCTAATACTAATGTTGTGATATTGACTAAAGTTGTTAATCACAGGGTATAAATGTAAATTCAATTTTGTCTCACCAAGGCAAATGTTCTTATGTTCAGGAACAAAATATATTAAAATTTTCTCATGCCTTTGGTCACAACCAACTTTGTCCTTAAACTCTATGCAGGTAAATGTTGTATCAAACCCACAGAACCTCATTTTACAATGGTAGTGGGGAGCCTTAGGTTTTCAAAGAGACCAAATCCAACAGGCTGAACTGGGGATTTATATAGAGAGTAAATCATCTTGAACATTTCTTTTTGATCAAATAGTACAGCCATGAAAAATGCAGTCTTGGGTTTGTGTATTTCACTCAGTCTAAATATTTTATAGCTTCACTGAAGAGTTCGAACAAGCCAGTTCAGAATATTGTCAGACAAAATGGAAAAAGGTTATACCTGCTGGCTGTAGGGATAGGATAAAATATTAGGGGGCTAAAGGTTTTAAAATAACAATTCATGTCTTATTCTGTACATGATCTGGGTAAATAATCTTATGTACATCTCAAATTACACAGCGGTGTGTGCCTGCCTCGCAGTTGTAACCTCTGTAGGTGTTTCATCCCATTTTAAATCTGTTTTTATTGGCAAAGCTAGGCTACACAACACAAACATTTACTGCTACAAACAAGAGCAAACTGCCAGAACAAAGGTGTGATCTAATTTTAAATAAACTGCCTCCAATGTTTAACACAGGCTGGCTGTCAGTTAGCCACCATACTACATGCTGACCTGCATTATTGTTCACGGTGTCAATGAACAACAATGCCATTACGTTCATGGCCATTAACTACTATAATGCCACACTCACCATTCCTTTCTACACGCCTGAACAGGTGACTTCTGTTAACTGTCCAGCAAGAAAACAAGCTTTAAATCATCACTATGCATCCATTACAAAGTCACATGACAAAATAATGCATCTTCACCAGGCTCATCTGTCCTGTTTGATGCAAATAATTATTCCCTCTACTTACATGAAAAGATGACCTTTCATTCTAACTTTTGTATATGGAATAGCATTTTAGCATAGACATATTGTAGAATTATGCACGCTATGGTAGGTAAGCCTGCAAAGCACTAACATATATTGCATGTACTGTATGTTTGCCAATAAAATTAACTGCTGTTAAATGTACACAATTGAGGCAGGCCTTTCAGTACCCCAGAGAGGCACTTAAATGCCTTTGAGCAAACTCCAGAGACCAGTGTTAAGGGCAAATTAAATATATTGACCTCTACTTTAGCAAATGTTTCCTCAGAGCTCAGCAACAGCCCTCCAGCTGTCTAATTAATCTTTCAGGATAGGAGCATGGATCCTGTTTAAGAGCACATACTGTAGATAAACCAAACTGACCTAATAGGGGTCAACCTCTGTTCACCAGAGGCTAATGATCTGTCTGTTCCCATGCCACTGTGTGAGCCACCACTGCTCCTGAAAACAAAGCTAATACTAATGATTCTACACAAAGAAGAGCATCAGCTATCAGCTGCTGAGAGGGATCCGATAGCTGAGGGATCTGTTACGAACAGCTCAAATCACAGCAACTGCCAGCCAGCCTCATCTTGTAGGAGAGATGGTGAGAACTATGAACTTTGATTTGTTTATCTAGTCAACAAGCACAGTGGCTTGTGGACTCGGCAGCAGCAACTTAAGATTTGCTATGGGGATATATACAGTATATATACACACACACACACACACACACACACACACACATATACATATAT